TGAGGTGTGGAAGAGTTTTTGGTACCCTTGAGGGAATTTGGATTTCCAGAAATTAGACCCTTGCTTTGTATTGGAGCTGTCGATATGAGATCGCAATTGGATATTGTTAAGAGAGGTGTTCATATTGTCGTTTTTCTCCATTAGGATTTACAAGAATCCCTGCACTCCCCATAATGTTCCATGTTATGGATTGTCAATACTATTCTTGGTTTCTATAATGTTCAAATTTCAATATTATGAGTTAATGAATACTTTTAAAGATCTTAACAAAAGAAATATCCATAAACTAAGATCATGCCTGAAGTGAAAGATGATGATAAATGACCCAATAGAGGAGCAGAAGTACACCTGTCTGCCATTCATGGACATGTATGACATCAGGTTGTGTTCCAGTTACCTGCATTTTGGTCAATGGATTCTTAAAAAATAATCATATAAGATAGTTTGATGATGGAAAAAATGGAAATAAAAAAAGGTTTAACAAATTATCTTCTTAAGCACAATATAAATAGGTTGATGAAGAGTAAGCTACAAACCTGCATCCATTGAAGGCAAGCACGACTGAAAATAAATAAGCCTCCAATTCATTGTAAGAGCCCTCCATATACATCTTCCCCTTTAAAGAATTGCTTCATTGGTTCCAAAAGTATAACTGGAATGCCAGATACCATTCTAGAGTATGCATTAGTTTCAATCCAGTTCGTCATAATATGAGTTATAAGTAGACATTAATGACAATTCTTGTAAATTCAATGATAAAAAATAAAAAATGCTCAAAATTATTACCTCTATCAGGATCTGTTTCCTTACCTGGACATTATCACAGTAAGAAAAATAAAAATAAGAAAAATAAAAAAGTAAAAGTAGGAAAATTTAATACCAAACACTGTTATAGTATTTGTATAGAATGATTTTGTAAAACAATTTGGTGTAATTACCCTGCTAATGCTACCACAACAAGATAGAACAACATGCTAATAATAATAAATCCCCTGCAAACAAACATAAGAAGATTGTTATGTTCATGTAACAAGTGACATTCATAAGAAAATCACAAGTATTAAACACTTGCTAAGTAGTTTATGGGGTTTTTTTTAAATAAAATGAATTGAAGTGTAACCTGTGATGTAGCAGTTCTAAGAAGAGAAGGCTTATGGTCACCATATAGTCCTCCAAGACCTTCACTTCTTATAACTGTTGTGAAAAGATAAGGGATTGAAGCTAAATATGTTAATAAGTTTGAATGTAGAGAACATGATCCAGTACTACATAATCAATACAACTTATCTCTGAATTCAAGGATATACAGTTGGTCTTGTATAAAGTTCATGCAATTGCTTAAGTAAACAACACTTCATAATAACAAAGAGGATCCTTTCATATATCGCTCAAACATCTTATGGAATTTGGTATTCAAGGCAAGAAAAATTGAATTTCTAGGCTACTTTGATGGTAATTGGGAGGTGCATAAGGAGATATAAAGATTACAAAGAAATTATTTCATTATTGGATTGTGATCATAGAAAGCAAAACAGTTTTAATGATGAAAAGAAGACAAACATGTAGCATTTAAATAAGCGTATCACCAGACGAATAGGAAGCAGACAAAGAGAGTAAAAGGGAAAGAATAAGTGATTCTTGGGTGTAAGACATAAAAGTACTGTTATTTGATCATATTTTATAACGTATTTTATAACGTATGCTCTAAATTTGATATAATCATTATTTTTCACTCTTGTATGCTGCAATGAAGGACGTAATATGATTCTTGGGTGTAAGACATAAAAGTACTGTTTGAAGGAGTAGTGAAAAGTAGCTAATATATATTCGATAAAAAAAACTTACATTTTATAAAATTAATTGGTAAGCTAGGTCGAAATATAAATTGACATAAAAGTATATGAAAAATTATGTTTATTATAGTTAATATAAGAGAGAATTTTAAAAAAAGCTCTTTAACCTAATTGAAAAGTTACTCCAAAAAGCTAAAAAAATATGAAAATAAGTAGTTTATAAGGAAGGCAGTTAGTGTGCCAAACCTAGCTAAAGTTACAAAATGAGGATGTGATATATATATATATATATATTATATATATATATATATATATATATATATATATATATATAGTAGCGGAAAAGCATGAACACTGTTATTTTGATGAAAACGCTGAAAACATTGGCCTTATGTAATTCCCATTTAATTTTGAAGATGATAAATTGCAATATTAGAAAAAACATAAACACGTGCATGGTTTATTTTATATTAGTTTTTATTGGTCCCAATTTGCGATAAATTATAGGTAACATGAAAGTAGCGTTTACAGGAGATCCAGACGTTCAAAGAAACAGTCAAAAAGAGTACACTTGTTGTTTGCTAATCTATAATATAATTTAGAGTACGGTAGAAATTAACGACAATGAACAAATAGACAAATTAAGTTCCATAAACCAGCTCCTAGTTTTAAATTAATATTCCAAATAATAATTGAAGATGCCATCTAAATATGAATAACCAAACAAGCACATTTACATTTGCCT